ACATACGAATCAGAATGAAAAACGAGAGATGAATTAACGTAGAAGTAATATTTAGCCCATCAGCACTCTTATATTCAAAGCACGTATCAAAGAACTTAAAAAGATATAACTAATAAACTAACCGCTAGACCACCGTGGTTCTAGTGTCTGTATACTATATTAAAAATACGTATTAGTTTATATACACTGCGTAAGTCTGTTGTAACTTCGCACTTCAATACACAACAAATAAGTTAATGAAAAATTTACAAAATAATTCATTCAAGCAAAACGTCTGAGCACTGTCTGATAATGTTACAAGTACCGAAACATATGTGTTGTTGTAACTTTACTGTGTACTGAGTTTTAACTGAAAACAAAAGTACAAATATCTAATAAATTTCAAAAAGGACTCGTCTTAAACAAAAAAATTTGAAAGCTGCATCTAACTAACACAAATATAAGAGTGCCGTTAAACACCGAAACATAAATCCCATTAAAACAAAGTGTTCGTAACTGACCGTGTGGACGGATTTGTTGTTAGAAACATGACACATTGCAGATTGCTTAACAACCGTTTAGAAATAGTTTCTTTTGAACACAAATTAAAAAAATACATACTATTAATCTGAGGTGTGCACATTTTCACATATCCATTCATTGCAACTTTTCTCGTCTTGTTTGTCTAATTTATTTGTTCGGGTTATTAAACTATCTTCTCAGTTCCATTGTATTATAGCCTGTCGAATGAGAGAGTGATTCGTTAATCGCAAATTGTGCGGAAGGAACAAGTAGTGGCCTGTTTTTATATATTATCCTGGAGCTGTATGGAGGAACTGAGCAAAACCACGACAAACCTCGTCCATGATGTTTGTCTTCCAACCGATATTTACGAATACAAAGAAAGAGTGCTAACCACTTGACCGTTCTCGTTGCTTCTTAAAAATATTAATCCACGTCTGCTAAACTAATGACGCTAAATACATTATTATACTTATTATTATTATTATTTAGTGTTCTGTCTGACGACAGGTCCATATGAACAGGATCCTTCCATCCTTTTCTCGGACTGGGACCTGTTCATATACGTTCTTGGCAGATGATCCAGAAGTGGTTTGCCACTGCCTTCTTCTGTGTGTGAATGGAGTAATTGTTGGGATGCCAATGAGGAAAACTCCGTGTTGCCTAGGCCACGGCCTTGCCCAACACAAGTTAAAAATTCGGGCCCCGCCGG